ACTCGCTTGAGCCCAGGAGTTGGAGGTTGCTGTGAGCAGTGAAGCCATAGCACTCTACCCAGGGGGACAGCTTGAGGCTCTGTCTCAAAAAAAAAGAATGAGGTAACAAGTTGATTAGAATTTTTGTATATATAGGTTGAACTGTTGACTAGCAGATTTCTTTAGGGCAGGAGTACTTTGAAGGCCTATTCAAGCCCCTGTCTGATCTTAGAGGGCATATTGGTTTCTAGCTGGGCTGCAGCCTTCCAGTATATATATGGGCTGTAATTTATACACCTATTGCCATGCTTCAGTCACCAGTCCTATGTTTTTCCACATTTACAAATTTGTTGAAATTAGCAGTCGCCTCTGTTATTGTGGGTTCAGAGCTTCATATTTATTCTTGCCATTTGATTATGTGCAATTCTACCTAAAGTCAGAGGGTTAGACCATATGATTTCTCGATATATGTAAAATAATTTGTACAGTATGACCAGTAAGTACTTCATGAAAGCACAAAGATAGGTGCTGTGTCAGAGAAGCTTCTATGAAATCCTAATTTCTAATTGGCCTTCCTTGTTTTTATTCAAATTAGTGTTGCTGCATATTATTACCATTGATAAATCATTTAGCAGACAAGTTGTTACAGCAAGAAGTTAATTAATGCCAGTTTCTACTCCTGGTTCTGCTAGCTCACTTGCTTAAGATATTTAATATATTTCTGGGTGGTGCGTGTGGCTCAGTGAATAGGGCGCCAGCCCTATATACCACGGGTGGTGGGTTCAAACCTGGCCCCAGCCAAACTGCAACAAAAAAATAGCCAGGCACCTGTAGTCCCAGCTATTTGGGAGGCCGAAGCAAGAAAATCGCCTAAGCCCAGGAGCTGGAGGTTGCTATGAATGGTGAAGCCACAGCACTCTATGGAGAGCGACAAAATGAGACTCTGTCTCTAAAAAAAAAAGAAAAAAAATATATGTATATAGATGGATCTTGATACATCTTTTTTATTACCACGCTTCACATACTTACCTGTTGTTTTTTTTTTCCTCTCCTTTTGAATTGAGGTGTCTTACCATCTGTCTACTTAGTATTAATTCAGGCAATTTTCAGAAATATTTTGGTAACATGAGCATGAGGTCATTTTTTGTTGTTCATTGATGCACATAACCATCTTTTCTACCAGACTGTCATTGTTTTACATTCTGACATAGCTTTAAAAAAAAGTATGAAAATTATATCTAATTCTGAAGTTAAAAGAGATTTTTTAGCTCTGGATTACTAGAAAGTGTTCTCAAAGCATCTAGATTCCTAGAGGCCAGTAGTGTCATGTATTGCCACTAACGGAAAGTCCCCTGTAGTTTTCTGGAAAAGACAAGCTTCTTTTAGCTTTCCCTTTCTCCTTTGATTGAGCCTGCCTTGATGGGAGTATGAGAGGATATGAGGAATGAAAAACTCAAGATCCCCTTCAAGAATCCTGTCCTCCTGAGCCAGATTAGTGGCATTTAAAAAAAAAAAATCCTGTCTTTTATCTATTGCTGTTATCTCAGGGTACCTGAGTTTGCCTTAGAACTTTTTCTAGAACTGTTTCAGTTTTGAAAGTGCTGCCTAGTCAAACACAGTTAATTGGGCCAGGAGAGGCAGTGATTAATTGCTTGTTTATGACTAATCATCCATGAGACAAGGAGAAGCAGCAGCAAGGGAATTGTAATCAACTTTCCTGTATAGCTTCTAAATAAGGCAGCTTATTCTTTTAAAATGTGTAATTGGTTTCAAAGGTAGGACAAATGAGAAAGCATGAATTTAGTGCTTAGCTGAGAAAACAGGGCTTGGTGGAAAGTTTAGGTACTAAGAGTTGGCATTGTTATTTTTATTATGAATGTAAATAAAGGTATTTCTATGTTGCTGTAAAGTTTCAAAGGCAAGGCATCTTTTTAAAACTAATAACTGATATCTTCTATTACTGAAACAGTTCTAGAAAAAGTTCCTGAGGTCAAAAATGACATAATTTTGTTATATTAAGTTGGTTGGGTTAAAGATTAAGCACTAAGCAATCAAGTAAATAAATAGTACTGAAAAGCAATCCCATAGTACTATTTTTTGTTAACTTTTGTCTGTTTCTTTGAGGAGGAGATAAATAAAGCCCTGGTTCTTTTTTGCTTTAAAAAGTAGAGAGGTTAAGGCACTAAGTTAAGACTAGGAGTTCTTCACTTCGTCATCTTCTGTTTTTTAGTGTTTACCATTTCTCATTTTTGTGGATCAGAATAAGATGCTGATTTGTATCTCATCCCTTAATTTAAAAATAAAAAAGCTTATATTTTTCCTATTTAGAAAGCTATATTTGTTCACTATCTAAAATCATAAAATAAAACTAAGTTAAAAGTAAGAGCACCCTTTCTCCCCACCCCGTTCTACCCTCCTATAGATGTGCTAGACATGAATTTAAATCTTGTTTAAAATCCTCTACACCAAGTTATATTTTTTTACAAAAATGAAATCATTTATCATGCTGTTTATTTACTTTTATTTCATAGTCTGCTCTTTTTTTTTTTTTTTTTAAATATGGAACGCTTCACGAATTTACATGTCATCCTTGTGCAGGGACCATGCTAATTTTCTCTGTATTGTTCCAATTTTAGTATATGTGCTGCCGAAGCAAGCACTGCTCTTTTTTTCCTTTTTTACTTACAATATTGTGACATCTTTTCATTTTATTAATAAAATTTTACATCACTTTTAGTTTATGAACATAATGGGTGATTGCTTCATTTGGCCTTTCCCTTATTGTAAACTTTAAAGTTATTTCTATTCCTCTTCCAAAGGAATGGCATAGGGAGTGTCCTTGTAGCTGAATCTTTGAACTCTTTTTGCTTAGGATTGCTTTGACTATTTGGGTTTTTTTTTTTTTTCCCATATGAACTTTAGGATTGTTTTTTCTAATTCTGTAAAAAAGGGCATTGGTATTTTGATGGGAATTGAATTCAATCTGTAAATCATTTGGGGCAATGTGAACATTTTATCAGTTTGATTTTCTAATCCATAAGTGTGAGATATTTTTCTATTTGTGTTGTCTATGATTTCTTTCATCGGTGTCTTGTAGTTTTCCTTATAGTGATCTTTCATCTCATTGGATAAGTATATTTCTAGGGTTTTTTTTTTTTTTATTTGTTTGTTTTTTGGGCAGCTATTGTGAATGGTGTTGAGTTCTTGATTTGATTCTCATCTTGGCTGTTAATTAGTGTTTAGAAGTGCTATTCATTTGTGTACTTTAATTTTGTAACCTGAGACTTTACTGAATTTCTCTGCTATAGGAGTCTTTGGGAGAAGTCTTTAGGATTTTCTAGAGGCACTATCATATCATTGGCAAACAGGATAGTTTGACTTCTTTCCTGATGTGAATGTCCTTTATTTCTTTCTCTTGCTTGATTGCTCTAGCCAGGACTTCACAGTCCAGGCTTCCAGGACTTTCACTACTTTTATATTGTATGAAAGTCCTAGAAGCCTGGACTTGGAAGTCCTCACTGGAGCAATCAAGCAAGAGAAAGAAATAAAGTACCTTTATGTTGTATAAAAGTAGCGAAAGTGCTCATCCTTGTTTTGTTCCAGTTCTTAATGGAAATGCCTTCAACTTAACCTCCTTCAGCATGTTGGCTGTGGGTTTGCCATATATAGCTTTTATTATTTTGAGGTATATTTCTTCTCTGCCTCATTTTTATCATGAAGGATACTGGATTTCTTTTTTTTTTTTTTAAGACAGTCTTGTGCTGTTGCCCCACCTACAGAGCAGTGGCATCATCATAGCTCACAGCAACCTCAAACTTCTGGGCTCAAGTGATCCTCCTCCCTTAGTTTCCTAACGAGCACACACCACCACACCTGGTTTTTTTGTAGAGAGAGGGTTCTCACTCTTGCTCATGCTGGTCTTGAATTCCTGAGCTCAAGTGATCCTCCCTACTTGGCCTCTCAGAGGGCTAGGATAATAAATATGAGTCACCACGCCCACTCTGGATTTTATTGAATGCCTTTTCTGCATCTATTGAGAAAATCATGTGAGTTTTGTTTTCAGTTCTGTTTTGTGTTGTGAATCTTATTTATAGATTTGTGTATGTTGAACCATCCTTACATCCCTAGGATAAAACCTACTTGCTTGTGGTGAATTTCTTTTTGATGGGCTATTTGATTTGCTTTTCTAGTATTTTGTTAAAGATTTTTACATCTGTGTTCATGAAGGTCTGTAATTATTTTTTTTTTGTTATGTCCTTTCCTGACTTTGGTATCAGAGTGATAATGGCTTCAGAATAGAATGAGTTAGGGAGGATTTCCTCTTTCTTGATGTTATGGAACAGGTTCAGTAGGGTAGTACCACTTTTCTTTGTAGGTCTGGTGGAATTCAGCTGTGAATCTTTCTGGTCCTGGGCTTTTTTATTGTGGGATATTTTTATTGAGTCAATCTTACTACTCATTACTGGCATGTTCAGAATGTGTATTCTTCCTGATTCAAGCTTGGAAGGATGTGTTTTCCCAAATTTATTCATTTCCTCTCAGTTTTCTAGTTTGCTTGCATAGAGGTATTTATAGTAGTCTTTGATGATCTTTTGTATTTCTTTGGTATCCAGATGTAATGTCTTCTTTGTTTCTGATTGAGCTTATTTTGAATCTTCTCTCTACCCTTCTCTTTCTTTTTTTTTCTTTTGAGACAGAGTTTAACTATGTCACCCTTGGTAGAGTGCGGTGGCATCACAGCTCACAGCAGCCTCAAACTCTTGGGCTTAAGAGATTCTCTTGCCTCAGTCTCCCAAGTAGCTGGGACTACAGGCGCCCACCACAATGCCTGGATATTTGTTGTTGTTGTTGTTGTTGTAGTTGTCATTGTTGTTTGGCAGGCACAGGCTGGATTTGAACCCACCAGCTCTGGTGTATGTGGCTGGCGCCTTAGCCACTGAGCTGCAGGCATCGAGCCTCTTCTCTCTTCTCTTTGTGGTTAATCTACCTTGTAAGATTTCCTAATTTGACTTATTCATTAATTCTTATTTTTTCCTCCTATGTTGGTTTATTGTTTCTTCTCATTTCTATTCTCCTTGCTATCTGTTCTTTCATTTGAACTGACTCATCTGTCAATATATTTTATAATGAGTAAAGTTGGTGGATATGTAAAACTTCTATATCTCTATATCCAGATAGCCTCCCTAGTGCTTCTGGTATATAGCTTGGGCAAATTAAGTACTTGATCTTTTAGTTTAGTTGATGTGCCTGTAGGAGAAGGTAGACAAATGGGCACACAATGGTTGTGGTGTTCACTTTGAGATGTTGGGGAAGATTGTAAAATGTGTAACAAATTATTAATCTCAGGCCTTTTCTGAATTGTTAAAACTTTTGTGTTGGGATAATATTACTAGGTGGATCATCTGACTTCTAATTTTTTATGTTCCTCTTCTCAGCAATCTGCAGAGCGCTGTGTAAGCACTTTGCTTGATCTAATCCAGACCAAAGTAAATTATGTGGTCCAAGAGGCGATTGTTGTCATCAGGGACATCTTCCGCAAATACCCCAACAAGTATGTCCAAATACTTCTACTTTTTTTCCTCACATAATTTAGGAAATGTTTAAATCAGGTACCTTTTAATTGGCTAGGTAAGAATTTTCTTTTTAATGTGGCTGATCATAAGAGAATATTTTATTGAAGATCAGGAACAGGCCAGGTGTGATGGCTGATGGCTATAATCCTAGCACTCTGGGAGGCTGAGGCAGGTGGATCGCTTGAGCTCAGGAGTTCAAGACCAGCCTGAGCAAGAGCGAGACTCCTTGTCTCTCCTAAAAATAGAAAAATTGGCTAGATACAGTGATATATGCCCTTAGTCCCAGCTACTCAGGAGGCTGAGGCAGGAGGGTTGCTGGAGCCAAGGAGTTAGAGGTCACTGTGAGAAGGATGACGCCTCTGCACTGTGGATACAGCAACAGGGCGAGACTCTGTCTAAAAAATAAAATTAGAAACAGATAAAGTTGTTAGCACAGGGATTAAAACCTGCATTTTCACTCTGCTTTTTTTCTTTTAAAAGTATTGAATTTCTGCCTACATAAGCTTTGTCTACTTTGCTGGCATATGTTAAAATTTAACATAACCAGATTGATGGCAAAGTTACCAGTAAATAGTATTTCTATATATAATCTGGGTATAATCTCAGTTTATGCTTACTATCTGGGTATAATCTCATTTTATGCTTACTATCCAGACATAATTAATGATTGTGTGCCTGAATTGTCTCATTTGGATGACAAAATCATACCCTGCCATAAAAGCCAGAAACACAATGGCTGTGCTGTCCACTTTGCATATGTTGGGAAAAATTATAGAACATGTCACACATTAGTGATTTCATGCCTTTTCTGAATTATTAAAACTACTGTTGTATAGGTGTATTTTTACTCCATAAATTTACCAGGTTGAGGCCTCTTAGATTATGAAGCAAAAATACTTTTTTAGGTTTGATTTGGAAAACAAGTAAATAAGGAATCTGAAAGTGAAATAAAAGCTGGTCTTGTAAGCATCATAAATCTCATTTTCCTTACAATCATAGAGATGTCTCATGCCAAAGCTTCTGATTAATCTTTAAAGGTAATTATAAAGGAAGCAACTCAAAATAAGTAAGCTTAGTGGTAGGATCAAGAATTAGTAGAAATACTTTGACAGTCCAGTGGTTTATTAAATATTATGTATATTTTTAAAAATTTTTGAAACAGTGTTTTAGGAAAGAAGAAAATATACTTTTACCACTCTCTTAGTAGGGTTTCTAATATCTTATTTTTAAACTAATTATTTCTATTTTTTAAAGAGATGGGTTGTCACTGTGTTGCCTAAACTACACTCCCAACTACTGGGGTCCAGGAATCCATTTGCCTTAGCTTCCCAAGTAGCTAGAAGTATAGGCGCACGCTTCTGCACTCAGCTTTTAAACTTCTTAATTAAAAGTGGAGATGTGTCTTAATATCATTGGCAGGGAAATGTGTCTATTTCTGGTTTCTGTTAAGGGGTTATGGCAGTTTACTTTTAAGAAAACAATGAAGAGTCTGATTTAAACACTGGAATATGGCAGATCTTAATTAAGTGTACTATTCAGTTGTCCACACATCTAATTTATCTAGTTTAGTGCCATTCTAATCTTTAAAACTATAATAGCCAACGGGATGGATTCAACATACAGTAAACATGAGAGAACTTTAAGATCTGTAAAAGAGTAAGTATTTGAGTTACTTGTTTCTTTGGAGAAACAAGTCATTAGCGAGAGTACCTTGGGAAGAGAGAATACAAAAAATATCTCTTATAGGGCCAGGTATGGTGGCTCACGCCTGTACTAGCACTCTGGGAGGTCAAGGCAGGTGGATGGCCTGAGCTCAAGAGTTCGAGACCAGACTGAGCAATAGTGAAAGCCCCATTTTTAAAAATAACTGGGGGTTGTGGCAGGTGACGTTAGTCCCAGCTTCTCAGGAGGCTGAGGCAAAAGGAACACTTTAGCCCGAAAGTTTGAGGCTGCTGTGAGCTAAGATGCCATGGCACTCTACCAAAGGTGACAAAGTGAGACTCTGTCTCAAAAAAAAAGAAATATCTCTTACAAAAATGAGAGATAGGTAGATTGAGAATCAGTTACCATTACTAGTTTGGGCACTGTTGTCTATCTAATGACTTTTTATAAAGATTTATGATCTAGTTATTAAAATGCAATTGCAGAGAAATTTAAAACATTTGTAATCTTCTGGGATCTGGGTATGGTGGCTCATGCCAGTAATCTCAGCTCCTTAGGAGGCTGAGGCCAGAGGATTACTTCAGCCCAGAGTTTGAGGTGGCTAGTCTTCTGACATAAAACCTATATATTCTCTTGACTAAAAGAGTTGTAGAATTTATAGTTTGCCAGTTTGGTATAGGGTCCCTCATTTACAGTTTTGCCTCTAACCTTCATTATTAAATACAGTTCTTAGTTTTGCCATCAGTAACATTAGTTCATTTTTTAATATTAGGTATGAAAGTATTATTGCCACTCTATGTGAGAACTTAGACTCCCTGGATGAGCCAGATGCTCGAGCAGCTATGATTTGGATTGTGGGAGAGTATGCTGAAAGAATTGACAATGCAGATGAATTACTAGAGAGCTTCCTGGAAGGTTTTCACGATGAAAGCACTCAGGTAAGTTCCCATCTATCCCATTAGGCCTGGATCTCTTTGGGGAGATTTTAGAAAAAGTAAAAGTTAGTTTCTTCTGTGTCTTTGTATTTATGTATAGTATGTTCATTTTTTTACCCAAAAGGGATAACCCTTTTCAGTTGTACTGATTTCTAGTGTAACAAACCTGTGTAACTTAGACCAGTGGTTCTCAAACTGCAGTGAACATTAGGAACATCTGGGAGGCTTGTTACAGTGCGGGTTGCTGGACCTTAGGTACATGACTAAGTAGGTCTGAGATGGGCCTAAGTATTTGTATTTCTTAAAAGGTTCAGGCTACTGCTACGTTTCCAGAACCACACTTTGGCAACCACTGGCTTAGAGCAGTAGTTAGCAGTTTTCATTTCCTGTCACCTAAGGATGATTACACATTTCTGTCAGTAATGGCTAGGGCTCGTGACAGTACGGATTTTACCTGGGGCTGAGGTGGGGCTTGAAAAGATTTTCTGTGGATGATTAGTCTCCTTCCCATCTTCTGTTCATCTCTCCTACTAAAATTAAAACCATGGGCCCAGAAAAGCAGATAAATTATTAAGCCCTTTTCCCCTGGCATTTTTACACAGAGCAAATTAGGTAATCTACCGCAGTAATTTTAATAGTCCTAATTCAAGGAATATGGGCAAGCCAGTAGCTTTGTGGTTCAGCGGCCTACACCTAATTGATTGTGATCTGACATAATTCTTCTGTCTTGATTCTGGTCCTGGTATGACAGATGATTACATAATTTACCCCAAATTATACCTTTTAGTAGAAGTAATAAAAGCCTTGGTGAGGAACTGGTTTTATCACCATCAGTATGGTAGTGTATAAATACAGGCAGTTAACTGTCTTATAAACAGTCAAAGTTTTGGTGCCGAAAATGCATTTTCCATGTAGGAGGCTAAGTGAGCTTTCAGTTCAGTACCTTTGTATTTCAGATGAATACTTTTGACCACTAATGTTGATACTGGCTGACTTTTAAACTTTTGTCTTATAACCATTATCAGAAAAGCCCCATAATAATTTGTGGGTGGCGAAACACCCCTTTGGTCAGAATGGCAGGGAATTATGGCATTGCCATTTTTTTCACTTTACCAAATTACATTTTTTAGGTGCAGCTCACTCTGCTTACTGCTATAGTGAAGCTGTTTCTCAAAAAACCATCAGAAACACAGGAGCTGGTCCAGCAGGTCTTGAGTTTGGCAACACAGGTAAGAAATCTGGAAAAAGTGCGAGATGATTTACTGTTTTGTTTTGTTTTGTTTTGGGGGGTTAATTCAAAGAGTAATAGCATTTAGATCCTGTTTAAATGTTAAAACAATGCTTAACGTGTTTCACTGAACTGTAGCTGGTTATAAAGCTTTTAAATGATTAGGCTGGTTCCAGTTTTCATGATAATTTATGAAAATTTAACATGGACACTCTTTAGTGTTGCTGAAGGATATCCTTATATGAAAAAGACTTTGTCTGACTTAGGTGAAAATGACAATTTCTGATAATACCTCCTTCTAAGTGACTTCATTTCAGCTTTCAAATAAAAGTACCATGTGGAAATGGTAGATGCTTCAACATAGTTTCATGTTTTGTTCTACCTTCTAGAGTAGTTGCCTTTCTCTTGAAGATTATTTTAATGTTATTTACTTTTAAATTTTTATTAATTTATCTATTCATTTGAGATAGGGTCTTGCTCTATTGCCTGGGGTAGAGTGCAGTGGTGTTGTCATAGCTCATTGCAACTTCAGACTCCTGGGATCAAGTGATTCTCCTGCCTCAGCCTCCTGAGTAGCTGGGACCACAGGCCTGCCCTACCACGCTCAGCTTATTTTTCTGTTTTTCTGCAGAGACAGGGTCTTGGTGTGCTGCTCAGGCTGGTCTGGAATGCTTGCTTGTCCTCAAGCAATCCTCCTGCCTTGGCTTCCCAAAGTCTTAGGATTGTAGGTGTGAGCCACTGTGCCTGGCCTCTGGAGATAATTTTAAAGTGCTAAAATATTTTCGGCCTTCCTTGGAATTATTTCATGTTTTTGTTTAGAAGAAAAGAGGTTTACGTGGATTCTGATTTGAGGAGTATGGCAACTCGCCTTAAAGATCAGGTCATCATTTTAGAGCTATAGAAATCAAAATAATTTCCTTTTTCTAGTGTAACTAGTATAATCATCAGCTCATAATGATTTAGTAATATTTTTAATTAGATTCGAGAGCAGACTAGATTTAACTATCAGAGTTAAGATTGTATCTGCACATGGAATCTGATTCAGATACTCAATTTACCATTTTTCTCTCTTCATCTCCTTATAATGGTATATCATCAAAAATTAAAACCCTTTTATAATACTTTGTCTAGTTCTAAGCTGTCATTTTTCCTAGTAATTTTTACATCTTTAAAAAATTTATTTGTAGCTGGGTATAGTCCCAGCGCTGTGGGAGGCTGAGTCAGGAGAATTGCTTGAGCTCAGGAGTTTAAGACTTGCCTGAGTGAGAGTGAGACCCTGACTCTTAAAAAATGAAAACCCCAGCCATGTGTCACAGCGAGTGCCTGTAATCCCAGTAGCTTCTGGAGGCTGAGGCAGCGAGATGCCTACAGCCGAGTCTGAGGTTGCAGTGAGCTATGATGCAATTGCACTCTGCTCAGGGGATAGGGTGGGACTCTTGTCTCAACAAAAAATAAAAAAAGAAAAAAGAAAAGAAATAATAAATAAGCAAGGAAATTAAATAAAATTATTTGTAAGAACTTTTTGAAGTATTTTTAAAAAAATTTCTTAAGCATCTTCCTTTATTGGAAGCAAAACAATTTCTATAAGCATCAGTATTAATGTATTTTATTTATTTACTTGTTTGAGACAGAGTCTTGCTCTGTTGCTCAGGCTAGAATTCAGTGGTATGATCATAGCTCATTGTAGCCTCAAACTCCAGACTCAACAATCATGCCCTACTATGTGTGTTTTTTTAAGTGTGTGTGTATGGAGACAGGGCCTCAATATGATGCCCAGGTTGGTCTCAAATTCCTGACCTCAAAGCAGTCCTCCTGCCTTGCCTTCCAGAGTGCTGGGATTACAGGCATGAACCAATGTATGCATCTGGTTATTTATCTGTACTGAATTGAGGATTTTAGACTTCCTCTGTTTAGATCCTTGATTAATACATTTTTATCTCTGTTAGGATGAATTCAAAACAGTTTTTTCATTTTTTCTTTGTACTCTGTTTCATGTTTTTTTTTTCTCTTTCTCTGTTTCATGTTTTAATTTTAAACTCTTAAGTACATATAGAATGACAGAATTGGAACAACTCACATTCTATCAAAACAGTTTCTAAAGAGAATTTTGGCCTTGCTCTCTCTGCTTACCTGTAAATATTCGGGCAAGTGTCTTTGATAGTTTCCATTGTTTTCGCAAGTTCTAAACCTTATCTTAAGGCCTGTGTGTTTGTATTTAACAGGCAGCATAGTTAAGCTGTGTTTGGGGTTCTTTTTGGAGTTCAAACTTAAATAGCTTTCAGTATTTACCAAATTTGACTGAGATTGACCTGTTTAGGGAGATTTTGCTTACAGGTTACAAAGTAGCACTGTTCTTATAGTCTGAAATTTACCTCTCAAGCCACATTAATAGAGACCTGGGTAACTAGAGTGTTGTTTTTGACCCTAGTAGAATTGCCGTTTTGAATAACACTGACACCATAAGCCTGTAGAAAGGTCATCATGAGAAACTGTCTTATTTGGGTCTGTTGTCATTTTGTTATTAAAGTCATTTATTCCATTACATATTTTCTAGCAAGTTTTGGATTTTCAGGTATGTTGTTGTATAGTTGATTGCCTTTCTGAATGGCTTGCCTGATCAGAATTCTTTTTCACGTTGATGGTTTGAAACCTTAGAATCAAATGTAAGGATTGCCCATGAAAAGTATACAGGTCATTGTGGCATTCATTATTCTGCCTCTAGTTTTTTGTTTTTGTTTTTAATAGACAGTGTCTTGCCTGATACCCAGGCTAAAGTATAGTGGCATCATCGTAGCTTATTGCTGTCTACCAGATACTCAGAAGGCTCAAGTGATCCTCCTGCCTTTTGCTATCTGGGACAACAGGCATGAGCCACCTTGCCCAGCTAATTTCTTTCTTTTTCATTTGTTTTTGTAGAAACAGGGTCTCATTATATTGCCCAGGCTGGTCTCAAACTCCTGGCTTCAAGCAGTCCTTCTGCCTTGGCCTCTAGAAGTGCTGGGAATACGTGCATGGGCTACTGCACCCTGCTTTACTAGCTCTTTCATGCTTTCTAGCCTTAGATGCATTTTTATAAGCTTTGCTAAATCCTTTTCTAGAATAGAGCAGGGCCTTAACTCACTTAATCTCAATAAAGGTTGGTATTGTTACTATTCCTGTTTTGTAGTTGAGGAAACAGAGACACAGAGAGGCCCAATTAATATGGCACAGAGCTGGGGCTCAAATCCAGGTAGTCGGGCTGCAGGGTCCATGTTCTTAACCCACTATGCTATGCTGCCTTTCTATTCTGAAAGTTAAGAATAACCTGGAGAATACACTTTCCGTGCCTAAAGCACTATTGTGGATAAGCTAATATATGTATGTTTTTTCTAGTTTTAAGATGTTTGTGGATAATTATTTTATATTTGGCTATAAATAATTAATAAGCAATTTTTCTAGGCTTGTCTTTTATGTCTTATTAATTAATAAGGTCTGAGGAGTTATAAAAGAGTAAGCATACTTATGTAAGTCTTTTCCCTGGAACTTTTCTCTTTTTTTCTTACATAAATAAAACCTAATAACTATAGCTGGAGAATACCAATTTAAGTTTAAGGGTACTGTAGTCCACTGAATTTTGTTGATTTTAATTGAGTTGGGAGGTTCTGTTTCTGCTGTTTCCACTGATTCAGGACACAATTGAGCAAATTTCTCTCATGCTGCTTTTTCCTGTACAGTAGAGTTAGTATTATTATTTCCTTATGCTGAGAATTAATTAAATGAAATATATATGAAATTTTAGTTCTTTTAATTTTAAACAGTGTGATAGCATAATTGCAGATATTGTTAGTTAGGAGGGGAAAGGAACAACCCTTGAATCCAAGGATTCATTTCAAAGATTTTTGTGTGTGTGTGATTGTATCTTACCTTTATAAGGTAATTAGTAAAGAATACATGCAAGTGGCTAGACTTTAGTAATTATCTTCTGTGGTATCTTCTAAGTCATCATCTTAGTTTTTCTACCTGGGAAGTGGAGACCACCATCCTCACAATTACCTAGGCTGCTGATTAACTAATTCTTAGGCTATACTTCTGACATAATGAAACAGAATCTCTGTGTTATTGCCCTTGGGTTCTGTACCTCCTTTTTCTTCTTTCTTTTAGAGTTGAGGTATTGCTCTGTTGTCCAGAGGGGAAGTACAGTGGCATGATCCCCAATTCATTGTAGCCTCAAAGTGATCTTCTACAAGGCATAAGTTATCACACTGGGCTGATTTTTTTTTTTTGAGACAAAGTCTCACTTTGTCTTCCTTGGTAGGGTGCTGTGGCCTTATAGCAATTCTCTTGTCTCCGCCTCCCAAGTAGCTGGGACTACAGGTGCCTGCCACAACACCTGGGTATTTTTTGTTGTTGTTGTAGTTGTCATTGTTGTTTAGCAGGCCCAGGCTTGGCTCAAACCTGCCAGCCCTAGTGTGTGTGGCCTGTACCCTAACCACTGAGCCATGGGCATCAAGCCCATGCCTGGCTGTCTTTTTAGAGACAAGATCTCTCTCTGGCTCAGGCTGATCTCTTACTCCTGCCTCCGCCCCTCAAGGTACAGGACTTACAGGCACAAGACATGGTTCCCTGCTGGATTCTGCACTTTCAACAGCTTTTTTGGTGTGTTAAAATGTCACATTATAGTTTAAGAGTTAATGTTTTAAAACTGGCCTGGTAAGGATTGTTCTAGAAGTTCTTCCCCTGAAGAAGGCATATGAAGCTAGTAGTACAGTAGATCCAGAACCAAACTTTCTGTGTCACTAAACATTTGTCGGCAACTTAAGATCATAAAAAGTTTCTTTTTTCATTTATCACAAACTTTGCCTGGCTTCACTTCTTGTGGCCTCTGTGTGACTAGTGAGGTAGTGAAGGCCACCTTCCAGTAGGCCTGACAGATCATCCGCATAACACTAGAGTTTGAGCAGGACGAGCTCCTTCCTCTCCTTCAGTCTTGGGAAATTTCTCCTAGGACTGTACTTTTCAGTCTGGTGTCTATTTGTATCTACAGTGTCCATACCTTTGATCCAGTAACCATCTCTAGCAGTTTACTGTGTTGCAGCAGTTTGAGGGTGTGGGGGGAACTGTCAAACTTTTTTGACAGAAATATATAATTTTGTGAATTCCTACAGGAATTTTTCCTTTTGGTCATTTGGTTAAATATTTGCTTGATATGTGAGAAACAATGTGAACTGAAAAGTGTTTTGTTTTGAACCATATGGTGTAAAGTTTAATACCTTTAACAATATTACTAATCCAGGCTCGGGGCCTATAGCTCAACCGGCTAAGGCGCCAGCCACGTACACCTAAGGTGGCGGGTTCGAATCCCCAGCCCGGACCCGCCAAACAACAATGACGGCTGCAACCAAAAAATAGCCAGGCATTGTGGTGGGCGCCTGTGGTCCCAGCTACTTGGGAGGCGGAGGCAGGAGACTCGCTTAAGCCCAGGAGTTGGAGGTTGCTGTGAGCTGTAATGCCATGGCACTCTACCCAGGGGGACAGCTTGAGGCTCTGTCTAAAAAAAAAAAAAAAAACAATATTACTAATCCATAAAGACACGTTGCATTCTCTTAAGTTAGTAAGTCAAATGTAGTGTTTCTTTTAATTGTGCAATAAAAAGCATAATTTCTCTACAAATTCTAAATGACATGTCCTTTGGGGACTGAGTATATAGATTAAAATTTAACTTTTAATTGGTGTATCAAAAATCTGGAGGAAAAGGGAGTTGTTTCCCTGACCTAATATTTTGAGAAGCTTGTATTCTGCTCTTTTAAAACAGCAAATTGGTTTTGTTTTGTAATATATAAACTTTGGTTTCAAATGAAGATCTAAGTAAAGAGATTTCAGGCTGTTATTTATAAAGATTTCCTTACAAGCAAGTTATTCCTCAGTCTCCATAAAACGAAACAAAATCAGCTAAATTGTGTATGATTATTACTGTTTTTTAACTCCTGTATTTCAAACACCAGAGACATTTTGATGCCTATCCATCTGTGTTTTTTTTTTCTATCTATGTTTTTATACATGTAAGAAGAAGGATAATATAACCTATAAATGTGATAAAGATTATCTTTAAATTTCCCATTTTAGTACTCTGTTAATTTGCTGTATCACTGTGTTCATTATGCTTTTAGTCTTTGACCAGCAATCCATTATAAGTGCAAGTTAAACAAAGCCTGACTGAGAAAACTCATTTAAAACTATGTAGTCAAAACTATCAGGATAGTTCTTCCCCTCAGTGGGCTGAGGTGAACTGTGAAAATGATTTGCTATTCACTTGACCTAGAAAAACCCATAAAATCATGCAAGTCAAGAGGTTCAAATCTTTGCATTCATATTAAGAATACTTGTGAAACTGCCCAGGCCAACAATGGTTTGTATGTATGAAAAGCCAAGTATCCAAAAGATAACACATTATTTTAAAAAAATGTTTTTTAAGTTCAGATTAATATGAGAGTACAAACAATTAGGTTACAATATTTGCGTTTGTTAGGTAAGGTCCCTGTTGTAGTTGTGCCTCTCACCAGGAGATGTGCCATATACCCTTACATTGTGCCCATTAGGTGAGCACCTTCTACCCTGAAAGATGTCACTTTAAAGAAACAATGTGTACTATTCCGATGTTAGAATGGTAGAGCTGGTCAGTGTGCCCAGGCCAAATAGTGAGGCTGGGCACAGGGTTGGTGGCCCAAAAAGAGTGCTGAATTTTTACTGCACATGCTTAAAAATATAGAGCATAATGCTGAACTCTAGGTTTAGATGTGGATTCTGTGGTCATTGAGCATATCCAGGTGAACAAAGCACCCAAGATGTGTTGCTGAACTTACAGAGCTCTGGTCAGATTCACCCATACACAAGCTCCCTCTGCCATATGGACACGATCCTTACTGAGAATGACCAAATTGTTCCAAAACCAGAAGAGGAAGTTGCAGAGAAGAAAAAGATATCCCACAAGAAACTGAAGAAAGAAACACATGGCATGGGAATAGAGGCAACATAACAAATATAAATAACAGTTAAAAAAAAACCCAAAACTAAAACCTATCGTGATGATTGCTGATATTGAGCTGAATGATAATTACCTTCAGTGGCTAAATTGTGAATCAATTCATCTGTTTACTTAGAAATTCACGTAGAAGCCCTTAAATTGGCTCAATTTAAAAGAATTTTTTTTTTGGAAGGGGGAGACAGGTTCTCACTCTGTTGCCGAGGCTAGGGTATAGTGGTGCCATCATCATAGCTCACAGCAACCTCAAATTTCTGAGCTCAAGAAGTCCTCCTGCCTCAGCTTCCTGAGTAGCTGGGAGTAGAGGTGCATGCCACTGCACCTGGCTAATTTTTTAATTTTTTATAGAAATGGAGTCTCACTATGTTGCTCAGACTGAAAAGATATTTTTTGTTTGTGTATGATTTTTAAATACAGAAGTTGAAACGGACACTCATTGCCTTTAATAACCTAATGCCATTAGAACAGCTTATGCATAAATAAATGCCATTGAATAAACTTACTCTAAAAAGCAGATATCAGGACATTTATCACCACTTTGTAATGATCACAAAGATAATAAACATAAGATAGGAAGACAGAACAAAAGAGGCAACATTCTAAATGTTCATCAGTGAAGACCAGTGAGTAATGGTGCAATGAGGCATCACCGTGGAAAACTGCTGCTGTGTGTGTCAGTAGTGAAAGCAACTTCACAACAGTGTGTATGGAGCTGCTGTTTATAAAATAAATTGTGTGTGTGTTGGAGAGCTGTCTGGACAGATACATATCGTGGTGTTGGTCATGGCTCTTTGGGGGATAGGGAGTTGAGATGGGGAGGAGTTGGTTAATTGGGGCAATTACACACTTAAAAATTGTGATATTGGGCTGGGCAAGGTAGCTTACACCTGTAATCCTAGCACTCTGGGAGGCTGAGGTGGTGGATTGCTTGAGCTCAGGGCCAGACTGACCAAGGAGACTCTATCTCTACTAAAAAAAAAAAAAAAAACTTAGCTGGGGCCATTGTGCTAGGTGCCTATAGTTCCAGCTACTTGGGAGGCTGAGGCAAGGGCATCGCTTTTGCCAAGAGTTTGAGGTTGCTGTGAGCTGTGATGCCACAGCACTCTACCGAGGGTAACAGAGTGAAGCACAAACAACAATGACAAAATTGTGTATGGTAATTGGTATTTCTTTTAGCCATGAGCATATATAACAATTAAAGACCACTATAACAAAAATCAAGACCATTAAATTCGTGTCATCCCATTTGGAAACACTTAGTTAGATGCTCTCTTATAAGTATATGCTCATACTATATTGAAATAGTTAATAATATTCTGTGAGGTTCTTAAAGCTAAGCACTACTACTTGTTATCTCTTTATTCCCAGGGCCTAGTCAGTGTCTCCAGAGGAGATACTTAATAAACATTTGAATGAAGAATGAAAGTATGGGTGTAGTATCTGTAAGATACACCACATGTTGTGAATAATCTCACTGATACTTATAGCAGTTTACAAAAACATGATATTTATTCCCCAAGGCTATCTCAGCCAGTTAACTTTTACCAGATTTAAACTTTATTTTCCTCTTCCTAACCAGTTTTTTTAAAATTAATATAACAGTACATACAATTAGGTTACATCACATTTGTTAGAAGTCCTAACTGTATTTAAGCCAAACTTCACTTTGAATTTGAATCTTAGGACCAGCTCATCTCAATTTATATTTTGATTCCTTGAAACATTAGACATTATAGAATTATGACTATATCCAAACTACTTTGAGTCTAAATGAAATACAGCCAATCTGCGTAAATCCCTACAGCACTGGCCTGATAATAAATCCAGCAATTTTGATTTCTGTGTGGAGAACTGTTTGAACTAAATCTTTCTTGCCTTTGCCTTTTCATAAGGATTCTGATAATCCTGACCTTCGAGACCGAGGCTATATTTATTGGCGCCTTCTTTCAACTGACCCTGTCACAGCCAAAGAAGTGGTCTTGTCTGAGAAGCCACTGATCTCTGAGGAGACAGACCTTATTGAGCCAACTCTGCTGGATGAGCTGATCTGCCACATTGGTTCTTTGGCCTCTGTGTACCATAAGCCCCCCAATGCTTTCGTGGAAGGAAGTCATGGAATCCATCGCAAACACTTGCCAATTCATCATGGAAGGTAAGTAGGAGTGAACTAGGTTCCATTCTTTGTTTAGAGTTGGTTGTCTTCATGCTTTTATAGCCTGGAAAACAACTTGCTATGTATTTTACTAACTTAACTACTATACTGAAGGCTCCATCTGAATACCAGTGACCATGCATGCATACAGTAGGTGAAAGGATTCTCTGTGTTCCAACCTAAAAGTATAATTTTTAGAAAATGTTAGTAAATTAGACCTTCTATGATAATGTCTGAAAGGTGCTTAAGTTTCCAGTGAGAAGAGGCCTGAAATATTCCAAAAGTTGAAAACTTGGGGAAAAAACCTATATGTATGTACTTTGATCTTTACATTTTACTACAGCTCTGGTTGAGGCTTTTGAATAAAGTTAGCAGGTACTATTTCCTTACTCTGTGAGGCTGTTAAGGAAATAATATTTGCAGGATTGTTTTATAAAAATAGCCAAAATTCTGTGTGGACAGAGTTTGCACCAAATTACATCGATCTTATCAGTAAGGAAATGGTTGTGAATAGGCTGTCAGGTAACACGAAGCTCTTGTTTTGTAGCTATCTTAAAATTTTTATTAGGAAGAAGTACTGTAATAAAACTCTTAAAATGAGTATCTCATGAAGCCACCTTCTGGAAGAATAGAAATTGTCTCTGAATCTGGTATATATATAATGTAAAAATTTACTAAGTGTGCACTGTAGATTCATGTATACATCACACGCCTCAAAAAAAAATGGATATTTCAGAATTTGATTCCTTATCAATCAAAATTGATTGATAAAAATCTACTTAGGTCTAAGTAGAATTTTCTTCCAGAGTAGTTAGAATAATTGAGCTTACATTAATGGTATAGTTCTTGTACCATTGTCTGATGTATATTGTTTAAGTGTGGCTAGAGTGTAGAATTTATTGCTTTACAAATTAGTATACTCAGTATTTTAGCTCTATTTTAAACAGACTGTGGTCATAAATAGGAAAGGGCAGCACTCAAGAAAATGATTAGTAATTTTTTGTGGCCTTTAATTAAGATGAATTTTTGGTTTTAGGGCAGGTTCTGTGATTTTTAACCCAAAAGAGATGGGAGTTTTCATAAGGATTAGGCCTTAAAAGAAGTTAAAGTGTTTCTCCTTACAGCAAACTTTTTTTTTTGGTAGGGAGGGGTGTCTCACTGTCACCCTGGCTAGAGTGCAGTGGCATCATCATAGCTCACTGCAACCTTGAATTCTTGGGCTCAAGCAATCCTCCTGCATCAGCCTCCTAAGTAGCTGGGACTATAGGCAGATACCATGATTCTTGGCTAATTTTTACTAGAGATGGGGTCTTACTGTTGTTCAGGCTGGTCTTCTGGCAGCAATCCATCTGCCTTGGCCTCCTAGACTATTAGGATTATAGGCATGAGCAACCTGTACCTGGCTGGCAAGCACATTGTCATTTTAACATTCTCTTAGTAACAACTATTTAACTTATAAGGATTTTTTTTAGTCTGTGCTTTAAGTTTTGATATAGATATGGCAACTTTTCTGTTGTGACTTGCCTCTGTATCATTTATGTACCATTTTAGTCTAGCCCTCTGTCTTAATAACTTTTGATCCTCCAATGGGAGGGGAAATGAAACAAATCAACAAAAAGAACACAAGGAGAGAAACACTATTTAAACTATCAAAAATAATCTCTTACATAGGCTATTACCTTATTACCTAAGTAATAGACTTTGAATTGTTACCTTCACAATATGGTTCCTGTTTGGATAGCCTATCTTTTGTCCATTTGTACTTGTTTTATAAAGTACTGGGAAAAATCCCCTTTGATATAAATGGGAATGTTACATTGCTTCAAATGGCATGTCTGTAATGGTATTGACATTACCTAAGCTCTCTTCTGAAGCATAAGGTTAGGTGATTCAGTGATATGAATTAAAGTAACATTTTAAAACCTTGTTCTGCCTCTTCTAGGGGCTTAAAGATACTTAGCTAGGTCTTTTAAAGTCACTTGAGTATTGGCTTTTTACTTGGGTATTGCTTACTGTGCTTATACTTGTCAACTACTCTATGAGGGTGAGGTGGTAAGTAGTTGTCTAATTTGGAGAAATCTTACCTTTTAAAAATATGCCTTTGATGACAGTTATGTAGTCATTTTCCATGAGTTCACATGGGAAACATTTTCATATTTTCTTGTATTTTCTGTTTAAGCAGAATGTATACTAATGGTTTATCATGTTTTTGTAGAATCTGTATGATCATTTATTTTTTTCCATCTAACTCACTTTATTTTCTCATAATAATAAAGAAAAATATGTGTATTGATACCTGTTCTGTCTCCTGTTTAGAGGTACTGATAAATCCATATATTCTGTAACATTTTCTAAATGGTACATATCATAAGATGGCAGAATTTCATGTATAGAGAAGCCTGTACAAGAGTTCATATTTTTCTTGCCAGGGATATATGCAATAGCATCACTCTTTTGATTTCTTAATATTTGGCCCCTTCTCATCTTGGCTTCCTTGATACTCTCTCTCTCATTTTTGCAGTCCCCTGTTTAGTCTTTTCTCTCATCCTTAATGATTTGTAGAAATTGCTTGTATAATTTGGATGCAAGTGCTTTGTAAGTGCTTTGTATTGTGAATATCTTCTCCTATTCTGTCCTTAAAATCTTCTTAATTCTAATGTTCTCAATTTTAAGGAAGTCCAGTTTATCAGTTTTTTCTTTCATGGTTAGTATCTTGTGTTGAAACTTTTATCTACTCCATAGTTGCAAAGATGCTACTCTAGGTTTTCAGCTGGTTTTGCCCTTCACATTTATATCTGATTTATCTCACTTTTGGTTTATATGGTGAGGTATAGGGGTCATGCTTAATTTTTTTCCTGCTATCCAGTTGACTCAGTACCACTTATTGAAAAGATCATCAGTTTTCCTGCTAGTCTTTTTAATATCTCTTGGAACTCATCGCTTTGTTTTTATTTTTACCACTTGTTGAGCTTACATTATTGCATATATAGTTAATGCAGTTTCCAACCATAATACACATAGCTGCTAGAATAATGTTCCTCTAATGTTATTTTTAGTTTTTTTCCTTTGTTCAAGAAATAAAAGTGATTCTGCATTCCCTAGCATATCAAACATTAACTCTCTAGACTGATTTTCAAAGTTGTACTTCCCTAGTCCTCTCTTTCCCCCCCAAATCTTAATCATTCACAATCTCTATTCTTGCCAATATCTTTTTTGCCACTCCTAAAGTCAAGTCATTCATTTCTGTGCCTTCGCACCGTGCCCCCTCTTTGGATGTCTCTTCCTGATAGTTCCTCATAAGACCATTCTGAGAAACTTTTAGTATCAGCTAAAACCCCTAGTTTTATTTTACTTCTCTTCTATAATCATGCCCTGTCAGTATGTAGACACACAATATTTGTTTCTGCTGTTAACACAGTCAGCTTGCTTTTCAGAGATTTTGTAAATGCCGATTGTTTGTTGACATAGTAAGCTATTTGAGGGTAGTAGGTACCATATATTTCTCTGTACAGTTTCTACAGAGAACCATGGAATGCTTCTTCCAGTGTTTAACTAAAATTGACTGACAAAGTCATATAATGTAATTTATTTTCATCTTAGCAACTGTGTTTTGATAAGAACAAGAATTGTTATCTCTTCATGAACATGCACAAATGGTTATAAAAGGATTTTTTCCTCCTGGTTTATAGTTATATGTTTGACATCCATTTGTTGCCTTGTTGCTATGTTGTAGGTGAAACTGACTTTTTTCTTTTCTCCTTTGTGTCCCTGTGACTACAGCACTGATGCAGGTGACAGCCCTGTTGGCACCACCACTACTACCAACCTGGAACAGCCTCAGGTTATCCCCTCTCAAGGTGACCTTCTTGGGGATCTTTTAAACCTTGACCTCGGCCCCCCAGTCAATGTGCCACAAGTATCTTCCATGCAGATGGGAGCAGTGGATCTCTTGGGAGGAGGTCTAGATAGTCTGGTAAGCATCTTTCTTGTCTTTTCTTTTTGGCTTATTTTTAGTTTGTGATATGTTAGAGATCTTTAAATTATTCAGATTTTTAGAACTAGACCTTTCCTTGATGAGCAGTAAGGTCCTTTGATAAAAGACAGGATTATTTTGTCTTTAGAAAGTTAATTACAGAACTGTTCATCATTGGTAATAGGGTATGTCTACAAGCATATGGGATTATTTTATTGTTCTGCCTCTAAATAGAGCTTCTGCTATTTAACCAGCCTATTGTTTAGCAGTCTTAATGCTTATTATCCTTTCCAGAGTTTACTGTTGCTCCTATTTCTTAACTCTGGATGGCCCCTCTAAATTCTTTTTGTGACCCGAACAGCATTAAAGAGGTCTTGTTCAGATCAGATCATCCTATTTTGAGGCTTTCAAACTTTGCCTTTTTATCATTGACTTATACTCTAATTCTAAATGTTTCAAGGCAGGCATTTGAGACATTTTTGCATAAAATATACCTTTATTACAGTTGAAAGGACTGCTCGATTGGTTCTTTTTTCCCTTCTTCCTTACCTGCTCTACCCTGTCATACTTCCAATTTTATTAGCTTCCAGGATTCTAAAACTAAAAGGCTCCAAAGTTCATATCTGAATATGTGCCACCAATGGGAACCAAGATTATTTTTCCTTCCTATACAAGATAAATGAGAAATATTAAGGATGACCAGTGGAGAGCAGGCCAGAAATAACAGGTCTTATCACATGACTCACTGCAAACTAGGTACTTGACTGTGGTGAAATTAGAGGCTCTTTGAGCTAGACAATTGTAAATAAGATGTTTGTCAACCTAATGACTATAAAGATGCCCAAGAATGATTTGTATCCCAGTATCACTGGAAGGCAGATAGCAGATGTGAAAATATATGTCCTCAGAGATGATATAAGCAAAACAACCTATTGTTTAGCAATCTTAATGTTTATTATCATTTCCAGAGTTTACCTATCCAGAGTTGACTAATTTTTTTTTTTTTTTTGTGACCCGAACAGCATTAAAGCATCACAAGAAATTTGTGAAATTATTTTGTTAAAGCTCTTTCTTTTGCCCTCTAGGGAGAATAGTGTTGAAGTATATGTAGCCAAAAGCTACATATACTTTATGAACAGTATTGTGTCTTGAGTATATGCCAGTGCAGGTGCATTTACTTTTTGTGCTGGCGTAGAGTCCAGGGAAATAAGGTTACAGTTATGTCATATGTCTGTGGGTCATGCATTTCACTAATGGAAGGTTGCTACTTCTAGAATCTGTACATTGGCCAAGCTGTAGATTCTACCTTATATTGACACAGTGAATGTAAGCAAATACTTTTCATGTTCATATCTTAAATGAATGGGGTTTACTGATTATGATAACTTAAGCAGAATAGTTTCCTCATGTGATCATTCTGCATTGCCATATAGCCACCTTGTCGACTCAGGAGACTGATGAATGGATATTTAAATATTCATAGAGGCTCCCAAGCATCCCTTATGAAATTGAAATAGCTTTTCCTGTTCTGTTAACACATCAACCTGAAGTTAAATGTTCCAACCTTCTGAAATTTATGCCTTAACAGCCACTTTCCCTGGTGGGAACCAAACAGTGAAAAAGAAACTTAAGTTTGAGGGATGGAGGTCCTGCATTTTGATGTTACCAGGCCTGGAATTCTACACTCTTGTTTCTTGACCCACTTTAGCACAGAAAGGAGATGTTATTTCCGCTTGACTTTGTGTTAGCTTTTCCTGACCCAAAACCTAATAAATATTGTCCTTGGTATTGTTACGTAGGTATCCGGTCATCTGTTAGAACTCCGACAAGTTTTGCTTCAGGTTGAAAAGCTGTTAGCACTTGCTTGGTAGCCAAAGTTGCACACGGACCTTTTTCCCTTTGTCTTTTCTTTTTCTTTTTCTGTGAGGGTTATTCTTTTTTAGGAGAGAAGTAAGTTGTTTTTCCAGTTGGATTTCTAAATATTATATAGGCTTTGCTAGGTAGGCCCAGTTATGTTTGTTGTGTAACTCTAAATTTTAGCTTTTCCTAACTTTGGGATTTAAAATGATATCCTTGGCATTGTAACCCCCAGAAAGTGTGTACAGTGCCATTTTCTTCAGCCTATTCTAGGGAATAAGAATATCCCAGAGATCAAAATGAGAAGGGATAAATGCCCTTATTTTTGCTTTGGATCTGTATGTGGTTAAATATATATTCACTCAGAGAACCAAAATTCCTTTTGTAAGAACATGACAAGAAAGGCCTAAATCTGGCTGTGCAGAAGAAGATGAGTTTCTAAGGCAGCAGTGGACTATGCCACTTCGAAAATGCTTTCATTATTAAATTATCTAATTTAAAGAGGAAAATAATCCTCAAAGGTGTGACTTAATCTATAGAAATAGTGCCATTTCTTGACTACATCCTTGTCTTAAAGCAGCACTTGTCAAAACAGTGATATGCATGTGAATCTCCTAGAGATTGTGTACAAGAAACATGATTTATTTGGTATGAGGTATTTATTTGGACCTGATGGTCTGCATTTCTAACAGGCTTCCAGGTGATGCTGATACTACTGGTCCATAGGCCATAGTCTGCATAATAAGGACATACATAGTAAGGACTTAGCGATCTGTGACACTGTGAAGCACTTGGTTTTGTGTTTCAATTATAGCTGCTAGCTACCTAGATACTCATGCCTTTTTCTCTTGACTTAAGTAATATCATAACAAACACAGTCCTGGAAAGAAGGCTCCTCACCTACCTTACATTAATTGAGGGAGGGCAAGGTTTGTGAAATTATTTTGTTAAAGCTCTTTCTTTTGACCGCTAGGGAGAATAGTGTTGCTAGGAATGATAGAATTTGACCCAAATGCCTACTTAAAATATGGCCAGGGTTAGAATTGTGTGGTTGTTTGGCAAACAGCATTTAGGTTGGCTCAGTGATCATGTCAGGAAGGCTGTCAGCCTGGCCTCTAGACTGTTGGGTTTCTAAGAGAAGCTCACCCGTAGAGGTCAGTGGTGAGCTGCTAATGAAATACTGCCTGGCAACTAATGATCTCTGTGGTTCTCAACTCTGGCTGCAAAATTAGTACCATTAAAGTACTGTCAAAAAATATATACTGTCAATACTTGGGTCCAAGAGTTATTAAACAAAACTTCTGGGAAGTGGGACCTAGATGGTGCTACTTTTAAAATGTAACCCACATTACTGTAATTTTGCAGCAGGGGTTAAGAACATTGAGCCAAATTAAATTCCAAATGGAGTTAAATAGAAATGTTAAAACCTGATGTCTAAATTAAGACAATGATTTTGGCAGAAGAATTATATTCTTATATTATTAGCCTCTTTGGCACCTCCTACAAAACTGACATCTTTGACTTTCCCTTTGTTCTTAACTCCCAGGATATTTTTCCATTATGACATTTTGTCAGGTGACCTACCCTATCAGAAGTTGGCAGAAGTTGAATGAACCAATTTAGATATAGTTACTCAGTCTCAGGTTCTTTTATACCCTTCCTTACTTTCCATAATTGGAGAAAAGATTGGAGGACATTTTATATATTTTATTTATTTATTTATTTATTTTGAGCCAGGGTCTCACTATAGCGCCCTCAGTAGAGTGCGTGGTGTCACAGCTCACAGCAACCTCAAACTTTTAGGCTCAAGAGATTCTCTTGCCTCAGCCTCCCAGGTAGCTGGGACTACAGGCACCTACCACAAGGCATGGCTACTTTTATGTTGCAGTTGTCATTGTTGTTTAGCTGGCCCAGGCTGGGTTCAAACCCATCAGCCTCAGTGCACATGGCCAGCGTTGTAACCACTGTGCTATGGGTGAGCCAACATTTTATATATATTTTTTATTTGTAGAGACAGAGTTTTACTTTTTTTTTTTTTTTTTTTGAGACAGAGCCTCAAGCTATCCCCCTGGGTAGAGTGCTGTGGCATCACAGCTCACAGCAACCTCCAACTCCTGGGCTCAAGCAAGTCTCCTGCCTCAGCCTCCCAAGTAGCTGGGAACACAGGCATCCACCATAACGCCCGGCTATTTATTTTTTCGGTTGCAGCTGTCATTGTTGTTTGGCAGGCCTGGGCTGGATTTGAACCTGCCACCTTAGGTGTATGTGGCTGGTGCCTTAGCCACTTCAGCCACAGGCACCAAGCCCAGAGTTTCACTTTATTGCCCACGGTAGAGTGCTGTGGTGTCACAGCTCACAGCAACCTCCAACTCCTGGGCTTAGGCGATTCTCTTGCCTCAGCCTCCCAAGTAACTGGGACTACAGGCGCCTGCCACAACGCCCAGCTATTTTTTTGTTGCAGTTTGGCCAGGGCCGGGTTTGAACCTGCCACCCTCCATATATGGGGCTGGCACCCTGCCCACTGAGCCACAGGCGCCACCTGACATTTTATATTTTGAATTGTCTAATCATTTTCTATACCTCTGTCTTAAAACTTGATATTCATCACAAGATGTTTTTATTCTTCCTTTTTCATAGCCTATTGATTCTCCTGTTAGATCTTGTGCTATTTCATCTTCTTTTATTATCATACTTGTGTAATTTTGAGATTTAGTGAATTGTGACCTTTTTCTAAAGCTATTATCCTTCGGCATGGAAGGGCAAAAAAGTATTTAGGAAATACTTACCAGTTGATTACTATTATTTGCCACAACATACCTGGATGTGCTAGCCTTCTCCCTCAGTAGTAGTGACTTGTAATATCTGCGATTCTTAAAGAGGAGTAGGATAGGACCATTGCTGTGATACGAAGAAAACACACACACCATGCCTCCCCGATGATTGACTTGTATGCTTTTTAAAGGACATGGTCACCTTCGAAAATCACTGAGTTAGGCAGAGATTTAAAAATGGAAATGCCTCTTCATCATAGGACTTGAACCAAATAGATTTCCTGCCTCCTCTTTTTAGTCTCCTTGTAAGAACATGCCATCCTGATTTTTTGCTCACCCTTCAGTGTATTCTTTTTTACTTGCACTCTGTAG